ATTTAATCATTCAATCATATTAAGGTTTGTGTAATCATTACCACAATCAGTTTTTTCTTCTACTCATTGTGGCTAGTTCCCCATTTCCCCTCACCTTCCCCTGCTCTGCCCCTAGGCAATTATCAATCCAGTTGTTGCCTCTATAGGCCTATATAGTCTGGATTTCATATACGGAAAAGTATATAAAGCAAAATAGGAAGCAAGCAAGCAAACAAACAAATAAAAAACAAAAAAAATCCAAGTACAATGACTAAACAGAACAGAAAAATTTCAATCATAACGGAAGCAGAAACTATTAAAAATGCAAACACTTTAAAATGGGTGAAAGGGGAGATCAAATGATAAGGCTTACATTCTAACCTAGCTATATCTGCCATAATCGATTTTACAATGCTTTTTGTCTGTTAACAAGGTTGTTCACATCCCTGGACTGTGATCAGAGGGCGTTTTCTGAGGGTTCAATCCATTTGTAGATGGAATCTGAAAATGGATTTTGGGTCTCCACTGTCCTCCACAGCCTTTTGCAAAGAGGGTGTTTAGAATTTAAGCTCGGATACTATTGCTTCCTTCAGATGTAAGTTTTATTATTTATGATCCTTGGATGACATAGGCTGATGTACCTCTTCCATGTGGACTTGGTTGATGCTTCACTTAAATGGTTGCTTGTTTGAAGATAAGCTTTTAAGACCCTAGGTACTACTTTTCTCTTTTTTTTCCTAACAGTTTTTGGCCATATAATTCACCTAGCATACAATTCAATAGTTCAATCATATTAACAAGAGTTGTACAATAATCTCCACAATCAATTTTAGAAATCCTTCTTCTTTCTTGTACTCATTGTTATCAGCTCCGCATTTACCCCCATCCTCCCCTGCCATGCCCCCCAACTTTAATTACACTGTATTTCATACACAGAAAAATATACTGAAAAACCCCTACCAAAAAATAACAATACCAAAATAAAGCAGAAAAATATGAAAAATTAGAGCAAATGTAAAATGGATCTATAGGGGAGATCATTTGATAACCTAAATGTATCTGCAACAAAATCTATTTTTCACTGCACTCACAGCAAGGCTGTTGACATCCTGGGTCAGAGAGAAGGCACTGGAGGCTTAATCCATGCGTGGACCCTGCAAATAGAGTTTATGCTGTCATCCATAGCTTCCTGCAAACTGGATGTTCACAGTTTAAGTTTTGGTACTATTCCCTCCTTTGGATTTGGATTTTATTGTTTACAGTCCTTAGATCACACAGGCTGGTATGCTTCTTCTGTGTGGTTTTAGTTGACATTTAGTTGACATTTACTTGACATTTACTTGACATTTAGTTGACTTAGGTGACTTTGTTTGAAGACAAACCTTTAAGACCCCAGACACTATTCTTTCAATACACTAGTCACTATCTAGTTGTTGTTTTTATTTTGTGCCACACTTAGCACTTGTATCTTCAATGATCCCTTCATGAGGGCAAACCTCAAGGAGGGCCATGCCATAGAACTAATTCTTAGACTGGGGCTAGAATTAAGTGTGAGCCCCAAATCCATTTATATTATGTATCTATGGTTTATTTATGTCTGGTTCACTTTAGAGACATCATTATAATTTTATGCTATAGAACATTGTCAATCATCCCCCAGGGGACATAAGGTAATTCCATTGATAGTGACATTAATCTAGTCCAGGGGTCAGCAAACTTTTGAGACAGAAGAGCCACTCCTGTCCCTCATAACAATTTAAAAATTATTTGAGTGCCATAAATGTATTTTTACAACAAATGAAATAATCATTATCTGAATAATATCCTTTAAAAGTTTTAAGTTTTACTACAGAGCCACATGTTTGTACCAAAAAATCTGAATGTGGCTCGAGAGCCACAGTTTGCCAACCTCTGATCTAGCCAATGGTATACAATTTAAAACATTGCTTGGAAGGGAAACTATACAGGTATATACTGTTTATGAACTGCAATAGATTAATTGTTGACTTATACAGACTAAACTCTTGAGTGATTGGACACTGTATAAACAATAGGAGTTGGTGATCAGGCAAAACTTTCAATTACTTTCATCCACAAAGGCAGGCCTATGCTTTCCAGATTAATACATGTGATGATAAAGAAGAGAGGGCATTATCATAGTAAATATACAAGTTGGTCATTCCTGGCCACCATTCAGTGGGCACCCTCAAGGCAAGAGATCCAAACCAAAGCCCAATGATGGCCAGTTCTATAACCTTGGGATAGCAGTCATCTGGTTCTGAAACACTGGAATTTCAAGGTTAAGTCCAAGAACTACAAGTAAATTTGAGGTAAAGTCCAGTTCATTTATTGGGGTTCCCATATAAAGTCTTTCTGGTGTGACATATGAAGCTTGTTGTGTACCTCAAAATATCAGAGTCTAAAAGTTCCAGTAGTCTATAACACCCATATGCTATTCTTTCTGATAAGCTGGGCCCATCTTTTTTTTTTCTTCCTATTACACTTTGCTATAGCACCTATATCTTCAGTGATTGCTTCATGAGGATGAGCATTGAGCAGGGCCATGTCCTAAGAACTAGTTGTTCTTAGATTGGGGCTAGGATTATCAACTCCTCTCTTAGATTCTTACTCTTTCCATAACACAAGCCCAGCTTTCTGCACCAAAGGTCCTTAGCACTCTGCTTTTCACCTGGCTCTCCAGTGATACCTCCTATCACTCTCTCATTTCTTTTCTGGTTCTGCCATAAAACTACCTATTTATTTACCACCTACCATGTTATGTTTTGAGAATATAAAACACATCAGTATGTTGTGTTTCTTATTGGCAATAAGGGAAGCGGAGGCAGTCAAGTTCACAGTGAAGTATTAAAAGTATGAACTTGGTTATGTCATATCCCAGGAGTTCTTACAGGCCCCTGCATAATAAACTTGAAGCTTCTGGTTGAGAGTGAAGTTCAGCACAGTGGGGTATTGAAATATCTCCATGAGTCTAACCCAGGAAACGCAGATCTCCAATTAGGCACAAGGCACAGGGTCCAGATTTGACAGCCGCGCCAGCAGAAGGGATGGGGTTTGCATGATGGGGCAGTTGTTCCATGAGGCTTTCTACTCCTGTAAAGAGTGAACAGCTTCAGAAACCCATAGGGGCGGTTCTACTCTGTCCTACAGGGTCATTCTGTGTTGGAATCCACTTGATGGCACAGTGGTCAAACCCTTGGCCATGTACCAAAAGGTCAGCAGTTTAAATCCACTGTTCCTTCTGCAGGAGAAAGATGAGGCAGCCTGTTTTTATAGAGATTTGCACCCCTGGAAACCCCACGGGGCAGTTCTACTCTGTCTTATAGAATTTCTCTGAATTAGAATCAACTCAAGACAATGGGGTTTGATTCCGTTTTGGAGACCCATGTTGCTGAGCTTCTGGCAGTAGAGGCAGGTAGCTGAAGACTCTAGTCTTCAGCAGGCATACAGGATGAGTGTGCTACCTCTTCTGCTCTTCACCATCTTCTTTCTCCCACTGCCTTAGTTTTCTGGTGTTGGCATAACAGAAAACTACAGTGGCAGGCTTTAAAGAAAAGGAAGCTCTATTCTCACTGCTCAAGACACTAGAAGTTTGAATTCAGGCTGTTAGATCCTTCGTTGTCCCTTCCAGCTTCTAGTAGCTTCCAGCAATCCCGGACAGTCGTGAGCTGGTCGATGCATTGGCCTCCATCATCACATGTCATGTTTCTCTCTGGTCTGTTTTCTCTTTTATAAGAGACGCTCCAAAGGGATTGGGTTTATGACCCACCTTACTCTGGTATGGCCTTCACATACCAAAAGAGAACCCCCTGTTCCCAAATGGAGTTACATTCATTGATACAAGATTCAGATTTCAATCTATGTGTATATTTGGACACCATTCAATTCATAACACCCATGATAGAGTTCAACTCACTGACCTCACTTTACCAGGTTTCTTTGTTCACTGAAGCAAACAAGTTCTCCCTGTCCTTAATCCAGTGGTTCTCAACCTGCCTAATGCTGCGACCCTTTAATACAGTTCCTCATGTTGTGGTGAACCCCCAGCCATAAAATTATTTAAGTTGCTACTTCATAACTATCATTTTGCTACTGTTATGAATCAGGCGACCCCTGAGAAAGAGTTGTTCGACCCCCAAAGGGGTTGTGACCCACAGGTTGAGAACCGCTGCCATAATCCCTATTAGTATTTATTGAGCAGTCAGGTAGTCAGGCCGTGAAGCATCATCCAACATGTGTTCCCCTTGCTCTTCTATCCCATGCTTTCCCCTTTGAGAAACCTTACGTAAGACAGAAGCAAGTAAGATTAGATTTATTTATTTAATAAGTACATTAGGCAGCATAGGGCAGATCTTACAGGTCAGCCACTGTCAAAAAATTTCTCTCACATTTGGAAGGGTAGATGCCTTCTTTTGTCAAAAGATACCATGAAAAATACAGTTGAAAATTCAGAAATTAATGTCCTTTTTTATTTTCCCATAATTAAAAAAAGAGTTCTCTCTCTTTCTCCCTTTATTGTTTTACAATCTACTTACATGTTAATGTAACTTTCTGTCTCTACGCTGAACTTTTGGAGCTCCTTCGGAACTCTCAGCCCGTGATAATTCAAGTCCTTTTGTGAGTCGATAGCTTCATCTTCTCTCTCTCTCAGAGTGGCTTACAGTCCCACACTTTCATTTCTCTCTCTCAACTGGTGGCTTACAGTCCCACACTTAATCCAATGTGCCACCAGGGCTTCTTTATTGCCTCGCAATGATTTCACATAATAAACCTAGATAAGAAACAAAAAGAAGACATCGGGATGCTGGGTGCAAGAGCAGTGCTGAGACCCTTGGGTGCTTCTCTCTCTATTTCAGAGAACTGGAAAAGACCTGGAAGCTTCCTAGAGGAAATTATGATCATGAATATGACTTATCTGTCAGCAAGTTTTGGTATCTGCATTTCCTACCTTTTCCTCATACCAGGGAAGATTAGATAGGGATGGGTAGGTGGACTGTAGCTTTTCAGACACCTATCCCCTGGAACAATCTGACCAAGTGCTGCCTGATTTCCTTGATTCTTGCTCCATAGATGATGGGATTGATTAGACACGGGAGCAGCAGGTAGAAGGCACTGAGCAGGTTGTGTACATCCTGGGAGGCGGTGCGGGCCACACGGTAGACGATGGACGAGGTTATAGTGAAGAAGTAGACCGTGAAGATGACCAGCAGGTGGGAGCCACAGGTGTTCAGGGCTTTGGAGCGGGCCCCAGCGGATGAAATCCGGAAGGCGGCGTGGATGATGCGGGAGTAGGAGGCACTGAGGAGGAGCAGGTCCAAGACTCTGTTGAGGATGCGCAGGGTGAGCCCCACAGTCTTGTTCAGGGAGATGTCCCCACAGGAGAGCTTCATCAGGGCCATGTGCTCACAGGCAAAGTGGCGGATGACATCCGAGCGGCAGAAGCGAACCTGGGAGGCCAGAAACACTACAGGTGTCACGTTGCAGGTGCTCCAGGCAGCGGACATCCCCACCAGGCCTGTCAGCAAGTGTGCTGTCACTATCTCTGGGTATCGGAGTGGGTAGCAGATGGCCACATAGCGGTCCAGGGCCATGACCAGAAGAATGTTGCAGTCAAAGATAACGAAAAAGTAGATGCAGAACATTTGCACCAGGCAGTGGGCCAGGGAGATGCGGTTGAAGTGGGCGGACAAGCTCAACAGCATGGTAGGCACCACAGTGGTGGCGGTACAGATGTTGACAGCCAGGAGCAGGGCGATGAGTGCATACATGGGCTGGTGCAGGCTCCTCTGGGTGGCCACCGTGTGGATAATCAGGGCGTTGACTGAGATGATTACCAGATAGAGGCCGAGGAAGGGCAGCACCAGGAGCCTGCGGGCCTCCTGCAGGCCTGGGAAACCCACCAGGAGGAAGCTGGTGTAGGACACATTGGAGCTTCTATTGCTCCACTGTGACATCTTCCTCCAGGGAGCAGGCTGGCTTCTGTGGGGGTAAGGGGGATACAATGCCTGGTGTTTGTACCTGGCCCTTGCTGCCCCACCCCAGCCTTACCAGGCTGAACTGGGTGCTTTGACCTCCATGACCCTTCAGGATATGGACCTAGAGAGAATACAATGCTATTTTTGTGCATTTAAGGAAAGGCTTGAAGAAATAACATTACCCTGTAGTCCCACTGTGTCTATGTTTCCTCTCTGCTTCTATAACACCAGTGTGACGGCCTTGAACGTGCTGTTGAGGTGGTTCTGACTATGGAGCCCCCAGGTGTGCAGAATAGAACTGCTCACCAGGCGTTCATGTGCAAGCTTTCAGAAGCAGATCACCAAATGTGCCTTCCAAGGTGTTTCCAGGTGGGTTCAAACAGTCTCTAGGTGGGGTAGTAGTCTAATATGTAACTGTTTGGGTCACCCAGAGGCTCATAAAGGTATGGATCACTCCTCTATTTCTTCCTCCTTATGGTTACTGAGCATCAACTTTGTACCAGGACATAAGCTACATGTATGAAGCATAACAATACATACTGTATTGCCTTCCTCTGGATGAGTTCATAGTCTTCTGAGTAGGTGAGCAATGACAAGCACTAGTCAAAATGCAAGACGGAGCAGGAGGTTAAAAACGACTCTGGTGTTGGCGTCTTAACTGAGCACTGAAGAGTCAAGAGGCAAATGAAAATCAAATACTTTCTCTCACATTGTGAAGAGGAGCCACTAGACCACTAGGTGGACAACAAAGAGGGAAACCTGCCGTTGGGCCTCTAGCCCAGCACCCACTGGCAGTTTTTGAAGGTGGCGTTGTGGATTTTGCGGATGTCTTTGAAGAAAGCCAAGCCTGTAGTTTGCTTCTCCAACACGGAGGCTCCAAGAAGTGCTGCAGCTTTCCCCTCAAGCCAACGAGAAGCCCGAACCAGTGAGCTTAAAATACTCCCTTGCCTTTTGGACAATGCTTGGTGCTAATGTTTGACCCACCCTGGAGGTCAAAAGGAGATGCTATAGGTGCCAGTGGAGGACCAACAAGAGAGTAGCTCTGACATCATTTGGCTTGACCATAATATGTATCCCTCTGTTTCACTCCCTCATCCTAATACATGTATTTACACTTTGGATATTTTATTCACCTTGGACGTTTTGCATTGATTTTTATTTTTTGAAATATTGCATTAGCTACCTAAGGCGCAATTATTTCTCTCTCCCCATTTAGAGGAGAGAAGAGTGAAGAAGATAAAAAAACTAATTGGAAACAATTAGTCCAATGAACTAATGAACCACATGACCATTCGTCTTCATGGCCCTGAGACCAGAAGAATTCGATGATGATTGGCCATGTCTACAAACTACTCTGTAAGAGAGCACATTAACAAGTCCTGGATAGAAGAGAAGAAAAACATGTGGACCCAGCCTCCAAATGATAAAAAGACCAGGCTTTCTAGTCAGATAAAGACTGGTGGACCAGTCCACCAGAAATTATGACCCTTAGTTACCCTTCATGGGTGGAACCTAATTCACTTCAATGCTCAACCAAACAATAGACATATCTAGAAGGGAATAATAACAGGAGGGAGCTACACCCACCTTAGAATAACCAACCATTTGCAAAGCAAAGGGCAGCATTTGCCCAGGGACAAAGTTCGGAAGACTTAGGTAAGAAAGAGAAATGCAAATGGAAACTCCATGGAGGAAGTGTGTGTGGTAAGTGATGTTACATTGTGGAGATTGCAATCAATTACATGAAACAAACTGTGTATGAATTGTTGGAAGGAAAATGAATTTGTCCCTTAAAAATCATCAAATTCACAACCAAAAGTAAAAAAAAAATTTCATGAAAATATTATTTATATTGATTACTGATTTTTTTGGCGTCCTCTTACATTTTGTATCCAATAAAAAGTCTCACTGACCTCATTCTAATTCTGGTTCTAGCTCCTTGGCCAAGAAGTGTCCACAAGAAGTAACCAGACTGGATCCACCTTGAAAGTCTCCCCAAGAGAGTAGTCTGCTGAGACAGGGACATAGATCCCAATAACAATAAACTCAGGCATGACTAACGGAAGGAACCCGGGACTGGAACCAGAGGGAGGTTGCCAGCAGGCCCCGGACAAGTACATTGTTCAAGAAATCCATCCCAAAGTAGTGTCCGCCTCAGAAAACCCGCCAAGCCCGGGATGGACCAATGCCAGGTCAAGCGAGGTCATTTATATCCTTAACTTATCCCTCTGATCTTAGTGAGGTGGGAAAATATGGATCGCAAACTGGGGGAGGAAAGAATCACAAGGCAACGAAAGTAGGGTGAAGTTGAGGAGGGTCCCAACCATGGACATCCTGTTTGAAGGAGGCACAAGTTAGGAGGCAGTGGGGCAATTTTTAATTTCAAATTTTGGCAATTTTTATCATTAGATGGGATTGGCAATTTGAATAGCCATCGTAGGATGCTTTTGAAACTAAAAGTAACCCAAGGGCTTTAAAATGTAACTTAGAAATTAACAAAACCACTAATAGGAATTTCATAAGATTTTACCCAGGCAAAGTTAGGGAAACTTCTTAGACATAGCCAAACACCTTGAGGGAAGGAATTTCTGGGGTTGGGGTATCAGGACCATAGTCTCTGGGCATACCAAGGTCAATTGGAATAATATAGTTCACAAGGATAATGCTCTATATCCTACTTTGGTGAGTAGTAACTGGTGCCTTCAAAGCACATGAGCAGCTATCTAAGGTGCAACTGTTAGCCTTTCCCCAGCTGAAGGAAAGAAGAGTGATGAAAATTGAAAGACATGAAAACAATTAGTCCAATGGACTCATGGACCATGTAAACATCAGTCTTAGCAAAGCTGAGATCAGAAGAACTAGATGGTGCTCAGCCACCACTACCAACTACTCTGAAAAAGACCATATTGGAAGGTCCTGGATAGAATGGGAGCAGAACTCAAAATCAGAGAAGACACCAGGCTCATTGGTTGGATGGGGTCTGCTGGGACTCGTGAGGTTATGGCCTTCAGTTACTCGGCCGATCAGCGTGGACTCACTCATCTTCAATCAACCATTGAAGATCAACATGGCAGCATTTACTGAACACAGAGGGTTAGGAACAAAGAGGGATGGAAAGAGGAAACACTTTGGAATGGGATGGGAGTAAGCTGTGGCACATTGAGGAGATTGAATCGGATAAGTTGAAACAAAATGTGTGTAAATTGTTGAAATGTAGCTGTGGGGAAACTTTTAACTTCAAATCTTGCCTTTTTACAAAAAATTGTGGCATTTGAGTGGCCAATATGAGGATGCTTTTGAAAAACTATAAACCTTCACCTAAATCACAAGGAAAAGTTAAAAAGAAAAAGAAAAAACATTTGCCCAGGGGCACCACAGAGCAGATGAAGATGGAGAAGGGGCAGAACAAATAGGCTGTTTTTTCTGGTACCGGCTTTGGAGTGTTGCTCTTCTTGTGTAGCGATACAAGTATGTGTCTAAGTGGTACAAACAATAGTTTTGTGTAAAGAGGCACAGCTGGTGAAGAGCTGACTCTTCTGGGTAGGTTGGGGGAGGATCAGAGAAACCGTTACTAGGGAAATCCAAGACTAGCAAACGATTGGCTGAGTTGAAGTTTGTTTTGTTCTCCCAGTTTTAGCAAACCTATAGCAATGGGTTGACCTAGTGGTCACAATAATGAGATCCCACAGAACAACATTGGTGAGGATGGTACAGCCTGGGCAGTGCTTCGTTCTGCTGTATACAGGGCAGTTATGAGGTGGAACTGAACTGATGGTACCTAAGAACAACAACAATAATAACAACAAACAACAACAACAACAAAACTCCCTAACTCACTGCCATGGAACTGATGAGCATCGTTGGAGTTCATTTTCTTTCTTTTTTTTCTCTCAATGCTCACCCATAATCTGCTTAATAATCCATTCTAGATAGTTGACAGAGATTCATCTCTGAGCCCCCAGTCTTTTCCAAGGTTTCTTATGGATTTATGAAAATATTGAACACATCTTCAGGTTCTTCAGTCAGTGTAAGTACTCGTCTAATGTGTCTAGCATTGACAGGCACTCTTACAATCTTTTACCATGATAGGATATGGCTTGAATTTTCGGAGATACCTTTGCTTTGCCTTTTTTAATGGTATAAGGTATTCCCAAACAGGTGATATTGCTGGCATGATCCAGGGGGACCGCAAGAGTGGATACCTACAATTTATCCTGGATTATGGGCTATAGTACAAACGTTTTTAATTGTCAAGGGGTGTTGAATACTGTTTTTTTTCCTGAAAAGGGTAGGTTCCCAAACTTATTTGGTATAGGGGATGGAAATGAAATGGCAAACAAGCCATGTCTCTGTTCCTTTTTAATATTCCTTTACTGGCCCAAGATATACAGAACCCCCTTTTTCATCCTTTCTTGCCTCTCCATTCTGGTTCACCCAGGCTGCAGAGTTATATTCCCAAAGACATATGGCCAATCTCCTTCCGAGGGACTTTCTGAGTCTGTCCCAGCGGTATGAGGGAGAGACCCTGCAATCCAGACTAAGAGGTAACCATTATCTAGGGCTGGGATTCTCACCAGGACGTATGGAAACTACAAAGAAGGCAGTAACCACCAAGATTTCACCAAATGCTTGGTGGACAACCAGATAGGTGGGAAGCAGAACGTTTGGTTGCCTGTTTTCTCTTCTGGGTCTTACTTGGGATCATAGAGCCAGAGAACCGAGAAGGCAGAGAATCTAAGAACCATGTAGCAGGAAATCTTACAAAGCAGTTATGACTAGATTGGGTATGGAGAGGGAGAGGAGGAGAAGACAAGGGTTTCCTCTCCTGACCTACCCTGGGACACAAACAAACATGTCTTGTTTAAATTGCTGTGTGAACAATGGTACCAATACTAAGAGAATTTACAGGAGGTGAAAACATTTTTATATGCCTTCAGAGCCTTTAGTCTCTGTGCCCACTTCTGCCACTACATTACTCA